TTTTTCGGCGTAAGCGAGAGTTGACGTGTACATAGAAATATTGGCGGCGAGGCAATGATTGCTGCTCTGCGTGCCGTTGCGGCTACTCGAAGAAGGCGAACGGCTGTGACTGCGATAGTGGGGGACACTCTACGAAGTAGGAAAAAAAAAACAGATCGCATGGGAGAAAGGGTATTGGCAAAGTGCAAAAGCAGCTTGACATTCAATGAATTAAGCGCTATCAAAAATGATCGAAAACACCGAATCTCCATTTGTGTAGAGTTCTACTTAAATGATCTGGCCTAGAGTATTGGCAGCTGTGAGAGTAAAACGATAAAGAAAAAGTCAACATAAGATAAAATTTTTTATTCTTTATTAATTTTGTTTAAAATTTTAGTATAAAATATTAAGGAAATAAAATTACAAAATTATAAAAACTTTTACATTTATTCCGTAAATACTCTAAACCAGATCGCAGATACCTAATCTGAAATAGTATTTAAGAGCTTCACTAAATAAAATAGTAAAAAAATATGTATTTTAAACTACCCTGCACCTGCTACTAACTAAGAGTATCAGTAAATTTACAAATAATGCTTTTTTATCAGGATTATAAGTTCTCGATTGTGCGCGAATCTATGTTAAGGGCCGGTTTTCACTATGTCATAGTACGACCACAAAATTTGTCAACATATTTTTAAACCGATTATATTATGGACCAAAAACTTTCAGATAGCCAATTTAGCAGCAAATCGATAAACTGTTTTTTTAGGTTCATTTGAGAATGTGGTTTCACTTATATCGCGACAAATGCCATTGAATTGGACATAGTGAAAACCAGCTTTAAGTAAAAGAAATCTCTAAAAAAATATCTTGGAGCTTTTTTCAACTACTGTCATTTATGTATCTTCACAGCGCTTAGTTTCAATTTACTCTAATTCTTAATGATATCACTCATCAAATCCGACATTCGCTTTACCAGTGAGCTACCGCCATCACTTCGCGCCGGATCTTCATTCGATACCAACGATTGCGTTGAACCACCTGAGGGACTACGTGGCGGTTGTAGAGCCGACGAACGTCTCGAGCTAGTTTCATTCGGGCGACTGCAATTGTTTGGTATTTTCACAACACAGCGTTTATGATAATTTTGACCGCAACCTTGAAAATGAATACAAATGCCATAAAGCAAATACATACTAACGAAGCCATTCGAATCACACACACTTACCATCACATTTGAGTCCTTGTCGCACCAAACCGAACAGCATTTCACCACAGAAATCACAAAATGTTGGTGCTTTGTACGAATGTACATTGAGCGTATGCGGCTTCAAAGTTGGCATTTCCGATGTGGGATACAGGATGGCTGTGGGAGAGGAAATGTAAAAGCATATCAATCAGTTGTCTGGGGAAAAATTGCATGATAAAACTTTCAGCTTATGAAAATAAGCTATGACCCCACTTACGGCTGGCAGTCAATACAATCTCCACCAACGTCTCATCGACCACTTCTGCAGCTGAGTTGATGATGTGCAACACATTTGGACTGTTGTAGTCATGGCGAAAGATTAATATTCGTTCTGGTAGATGTGTTAAGCCGCTGTCGGGTATCTGAAAATAAACATAGGGAGTTTGTATGAGCTACTGTTTTTTTT